TACCCCAGGGCTCTTAGTACAGATCGCGTTCACACCGGAATAAGTTCCCTGAGGGAAGATTACGCAAATGAGCCGCTTCTTCTTCTCTTTTTAATGGTGGATCGCAAACAGCTTTTGGTTGCATACCGCCACCTACTGTACACGAGTGTGTATCATGTCATCCCTCTAATAAACCATTAAATAAATAAATAAAACAAAACAAAACCAAAAAATCCATGATCTATTCTAACCTACTGTTAGACTCTTTTCCCTACCCCAGTTTCCCTCAAAAAGGTGAACAGTGCCTTTCTGGTAGCTCTTACTCCTTCTCCTTCCTGTTAAGGTTCGGCAAAATGTAGGACCCAAATGCAGATTAAAAGGGAAGCGGGTTTCAAAACAAAAGTGAGCTTTAATAAAAAAGCTGATGAACGTAAATAACATCGCATGAAACACATAGGTAACACGAGGAAGATACAATACCAAAAAACGACCGTGACCAACATGGAGGGAGACAGGAAAAACCAACAAGGCACACAGGGGAAGACAAGACTAAATACAGAGAGGGGTAATCACAAGACAAGACACAGCTGGGGTAAGGGAGGCAGAAACACAAGGGCAACAGGTGAACACAATCAGACAATCAGACACACCAGGGAAATTAACGACAGGAAGGCAAACACAGGAAGAAGGAACAGAGAAGACACAAGGAGGAAAACATTTCAAAACAAAGGTGGAAAATGAAAACGTAAATACAAAACCGTAACAGAACCCCCCCCTCAAGGGACGGATTCCAGACGTCCCAAGAAAACCCCAAAAACTCCAAAACCTCTAGAAGGGTGGGCGGAGGGGGCCTGGAGGAGGGACGCACAACCAGGACCAAAAAGGTGGGTGGAGGGGGTCCGGAGGACGGGCCCGGAAGTGGTCCCGGGCGGACGGCCCGGGGGCAAGGCAGAGTCCAAAAAGGGGCGAAGGCCACAGCGGGCGAACTCAGGGGCCCGGGCATGAGAGCGAAGGCAGTGGCTGGAAGAGTCAGGAGGCCGGGCTCGAGGGCGAAGACCACGGCTGGGGAACTCAAGGGGCCGGGTTCGAGGGCGAAGGCAGTGGCTGGAAGAGTCAGGGGGCCGGCTCAAGGGCGAAGACCACGGCTGGGGAACTCAGGAGGCCGGGCTCGAGGGCGAAGACCGCGGCACTCAGGGGGCCGGGCTCGAGGGCGAACAAGAAGGCGGCGACGGGACAGCTCCGGAGGACGGGCAGGAAGGCCATGACGGGACAGCTCCGGAGGACGGGCAGGAAGGCCATGACGGGACAGCTCCGGAGGTCGGGCAGGAAGGCGCCGACGGGACAGCCCCGGAGGCCGGGCAGGAAGGCGCCGACGGGACAACTCCGGAGGCCGGGCAGGAAGGCGCCGACGGGACAACTCCGGAGGACGGGCAGGACCCAGCATCGGCCGGACAGGAACCGGAGCCGACGGGACAGGCGGGACCCCGAACATGACATGGGCCGGTGCCAACGGGACCCCGGATGGAGCAAGGGCTGGTGTCGACTGGACCCCCAACGGAACAGGACACAGAGTTGGCAGGACCCCCGGTGGAACAGGTGTTGGCGGGACCTCCAACAGGACAGGACACAGAGTTGGCAGGACCCCCGGCGGGACAGGTGTCGGCGGGACCCCCAACAGAACAGAACATGGAGCTGGCAGGACCCCCGGCGGGACAGGTGTCGGCGGTACCCCCAACAGGACAGGATATGGTGTAGGCAGGAAATCTGGCGGAGCAGGTGTCGGCGGGACCCCCAACAGGACAGGATCTGGTGTTGGCAGGAAACCCGGCGGAGCAGTAGTCGGCGGGACCCCCAACGGGACAGGACATGGGGTTGGCAGGACCCACAGCGGAACAGGTGTCGGCAGGACCCCCAACGATACTGGACGTGGAGTTGGCAGGACCCTCAGCGGAACCCCCAACGGCACAGGACATAGGGTTGGCAAGACCCCCGGCAGAAGAGCAGTCGGCGGGACCCCCAATGGGACAGGACATGGAGTTGGCAAGACCCCCAGCAGGAGAGTAGTCGGCGGGACCCCCAATGGGACAGGACATGGAGTTGGCAAGACCCCCGGCAGGAGAGTAGTCGGCGGGACCTCCAACGGCACAGGACATAGGGTTGGCAGGACCCCCGGCAGAAGAGTAGTCGGCGGGACCTCCAACGGGACAGGACATAGGGTTGGCAAGACCCCCGGCAGAAGAGTAGTCGGCGGGACCTCCAACGGCACAGGACATAGGGTTGGCAGGACCCCCGGCAGAAGAGTAGTCGGCGGGACCTCCAACGGCACAGGACATAGGGTTGGCAGAACCCCCGGCAGAAGAGTAGTCGGCGGGACCTCCAACGGTACAGGACATGGGGTAGGCGTCGGCCGTAGAGCCAACAGGACACGGGGGGCTGGTGTCGGCCGGAGAGCCAACAGGAGACGAGGTGCTGTTGTCGGCCGGACCACCGACAGGACATGAGGGGCTGGAGTGGGCCGAACCACTGACAAAACACGGGGGCCTGGCGTCGGCCGGGGAGCCAGTACTGGAGCCGAAACTGGAGCCGGAACCATGGCTGCTGGGGCCGGAACTGGGTCCGGAACCATGGCTGCTGGGGCCAGAACTGGGGCTGGAACAATGGCTGCTGGGGCCAGATCTGGAGCTGGAACCACTGGAGCACGGGCTGGAATCTTGGTCTTGCGTCTCCTAGAGATTCTTTGGAGGATCTGTGGGCCTCCCAAGGCCTGGTCATACCCCAGGAAAGGGTTAGAGGCTTCGGACAAGTCCTCAGGACTACTTGTGAAAAGTTGTAGCCACTCAGGCAACATGCTCCTAATCCAGGGCTGGCGAGCAACCTCCTGACGTGCCTCCTTCAACGCAGCCTCTCTACCACGTCTAGAAGAGGCGCCATTCCAAGTATAACAAATGTACTCCAGAGAGTACCCAAGACATTCTGCCTGTAGAGCAAAACGATCCGAGTCTGCTGAGTCCAAAGCTGGTCGGTTCATTCTGTTAAGGTTCGGCAAAAAAGGTAGGACCCAAATGCAGATTAAAAGGGAAGCGGGTTTCAAAACAAAAGTGAGCTTTAATAAAAAAGCTGATGAACGTAAATAACATTGCATGAAACACATAGGTAACACGAGGAAGATACAATACCAAAAATGATCGTGACCAACATGGAGGGAGACAGGAAAAACCAACAATGAACCGACAAGGCACACAGGGGAAGACAAGACTAAATACAGAGAGGGGTAATCACAAAACAAGACACAGCTGGGGTAAGGGAGGCAGAAACACAAGGGCAACAGGTGAACACAATCAGACAATCAGACACACCAGGGAAACTAACGACAGGAAGGCAAACACAGGAAGAAGGAACAGAGAAGACACAAGGAGGAAAACATTTCAAAACAAAGGTGGAAAATGAAAACATAAATACAAAACCGTAACACTTCCAGAATACCAGCTACATTCCACTCCCTCTCTGCCTCTAAAACTTTATCCCTTAATTTTCCTCTTTCAACTCTATAGGTGACACAATGTAATAACATATGTTCCACATTTTCCCTAACTCCACAGCTCCCACACTTGTCACTGTCACTTTTCCCCATGACATACAGCGTACCATTCAATGCAGTGTGATTTAGTCTGAGCCTAGCTATCATGATTTCCTCCCTTCTATTTCTTTCTTTATAAATATTAATTGTAATTGTCTTTTGCACTTGATGATACTCTTTGCCTTTCTGGTCTTTCTCCCACCTTTTCTGCCAGATCTCCATCTCTTTCTTCTTAATTACGGCTTTTCCTTCTCCTTTTCCAAGTTTAACTGGTAATGTAATTTCCTTTTGTAGTGCACTTTTTGCTAATCTATCAGCACACTCGTTCCCTTTCACCCCCTCATGAGCAGGCACCCAGCAGAACTGCAGATCTATGCCGCTTCTGTGAAGTCTTAACAGGCTGTGATTGATTTCTATGAGTATGTCTTCTCTGGCAGTTGTTGTTGACTGTATGCTTTGTAAACTGGGTAATGAATCTGTGCATATCACCACCCTATCTGGTCTGACCTCTTCCACCCACGGTAATCCTATTACTACTGCCAGCATTTCTGCTGTGTACACTGAAAGTTGGTCTGACGCTCTTTTTGATATCGATATTTTAAATTCTGGGATATATATACCAATTCCGACACACTCTTCCTTGTTCTTAGAACCATCTGTGTATATTTTGAGGTAATTGTGATAATTACTCCTGAGGTACAAACTTGTTTTGAATCCTACTTCATTTATTTGCCACTCTCTTTTCTTTTCTACAATACTCACATCTATATGTACTATTGGAAAAAGCCATGGGGGTACACTACTGAATGCAAATGAGCCGCTGACGTCACTTCGTCTTCTTCTGCTTTGGGATTACTGGCAGGCCGCAAACCACTTACGGAAGTCCCTGGAGTTGGGGACTGGCGTAAATCGCCAGAACGCCGACACCTCGGGTCTGCCCCGCGAAAAGACTCCGGCCATGTCGTCCGGAGCACACCTCTCCTGAGCTAGGGGTACGGGGAGATCTCTGCAGGCGGCTGCCTTCCTTATGATCTCCGGCAGTTCCCCTAGGATGCCACCTATCGCCAGCAGCGCCGTGGTGACGGAGAAGGGGACCGCGTGTTCGGCCGCCAAGCTGGCACCCGCCTCCGACTCGGTCTCCTCCGTCCGGGGGAGAGGAGGGAGGGGAGAACCGAACGGTGAACCGTGGAGGGAGACAGGGTAGGAGTAGTCCGACTCCTGCCCGGCACTCGGCTCCAGGAACACGAGGCCCTCGTCCGCGGGCTCGTAAGCCTGGACGGGCCAATCGTCCTCCTCGGCCGCAGCAGCGAGAGCGTCCGCTCTTCGCTTCCTGTCGCCCGAGGGGAGACGGACACAGTGGGTACATGCTACCTGCTGGTCCAGAGCCGCGTACGCGTGCTCCGACCCCAGGCAGGATTCGCATACAGTGTGCTGGTCATAACTCATGATGTACCCCGAGCCACATGAGGGACAATCTCTGACACAATTGTTACTCATGTTTGAAAAATGAAGTGTCTCTCGTGCTTCAGTAACGGGGTGCTGAAGAAAAGAGGGAGCAGATTGTCGGGCCTCCTTCCTATTTATACCGGAAATGAGCCCGAGGGTGGGGCCCACCTCGCTGGTGGGCGTGGACTACAAGTGTTTCAGTGCTGCGCGGGTGCGCAGGGGATTACCCAATAGCGATAGCCTTAGAGGGCGAAGCCTATACGAAATAGAACCTACATTAATCCTGTATGTGGGTCCGCCCTGCTCTGCTCTCCTGCATGATAACTAGAGTAAACTAAAGAGTTTAACAATAAACAGTATCATTGTTAATATAGATTTATGTTAAATGGTTAATATGTATGTTTCCTGTATCTATTTTCCTACAGGAGGGAGAAGGACAAGGATCATCAAACTCCTAATGTCTACCTTAACTCTGATGGTTACGTTGAAGATGAGAATTACCTTAAGGTGGTCAGCACATGCAAGATGCAAGTTTACAAATTTCCCTTCGATATTCAGAACTGCAACTTGTCTTTCAGGTCAATTCTATACAATGGTGAGCATGCAAGTTAGGCATTAATCTAAAGTATGTGTGTGTGTGTGTGTGTGTGTGTGTGTGTGTGTGTGTGTGTGTGTGTGTGTGTGTGTGTGTGTGTGTGTGTGTGTGTGTGTGTGTGTGTGTGTGTGTGTGTGTGTGTGTGTGTGTGCATGCGTGCGTGCGTGCGTGCGTGCGTGCGTGCGTGCGTGCGTGCGTGCGTGCGTGCGTGCGTGCGTGCGTGTGTGTGTCCACATGCATTACTTCTTTGTTGACCGGATAAGAAAACCTATATTATTTTCACTTCAGATGAGGGCATTACGTTTGAAGGCCAGTTCAACAATTCATATTTGCTAAAGTGGACTTATGAAGCTATGGGGACCCAGTACGAGTGGCTGTTCCTCAACTTGACAGTCAACACATCAAATCACACCACCCTTGCAGGATATACTCAAAGCAGGATTGTTTATACTGTAAGTATTGAGGACATTTTACTGTCAATATGTGTTTCTTCTGGCAAATATTTGCATGTAGATTTCTGAAGTTCCACTTGCTGCTTTTGCATTTAACCTGCAATATAAAAAGCAGAGTTAAACACTCTGGCACATTTATAATATGATGGAAATGTGTGACTGCCAGTTTAGAGGACAGTTTAGTTTAGTTTAGTTATTTATTCTACTTAAACCACCATCTACAGCTTTTCTTTTTTGGACAATGGGTGTAAACGGAAACAATTAGTCAAACTGTTTCTTATTGTTGGGGAAATATGTATACCTTTGACCCAGCTTCTCAGTTTGTACTGCCCTCACTGAGCACAGGCCTACAAACTTGGGCTGCTGTGCTCTCAGTGTTTTGTCTCCCTGTTCCTGCCTGTTGGCGTCAGCTGATAAGAGGTGCTATAGTGCTTTGCCTGCTTTATCTTGTAATGCACAATGTTGATTATTCTCTCAGAGCTATAGACAGGGGTCTGGGGTAGAGATCTTCAGAATTGGATTGGCAACCGCTGTGTCAACTCGTGGCACAGCACCTGTCTTGTGAATTCTCCGGCTGAAGCTCCAAATAAACCATCAGTGTTTGCCATCAAAGTTCCAGCTCTCCCCCTGTCTCTCTGAGTTTCGTCTCCATTGCTTCAGAAGTTTCCATCACACTTATGAACACATACATTAGTAATGGAGCAACATTACAATTAATTTGTTTCTGAACACCTTGGCAATTTAAGTTCAATATTCACTACTATTCTTAGTTCTGTTTTCGGTCTCTACCATCTCCTTAGGGGAATATGTGTCTCCTTAGCTGCTAAATGCATGACTAAATTCTCCAGACGTTTGTTGCAGCAGTGTGTTTATCAATCCATTACCAAAATATAATATAATGTAAAACACACAAAGCAGCTCTACTGATGAATTCATTGTCTAAATAGTTTTGATTTTTACAATGTAAATGTCTAATAAAGGTATTCTGATTCTGATTTGACATAATTTGCTTTAAAAAAAGGTATTTGAGTATCATGAACCAACTGACCATTAGAAGTTTCACAGATCACGATGAGGAGGCGTTCTGCCCTTTACATCGCCAACTTCTTAGTGCCCATCCTGTTCTTCTTCTGTCTGGACTTGGCCTCCTTCCTGATCTCAGACAGCGGGGGCGAGAAGCTCAGCTTCAAGGTCACTGTGCTGCTCGCTGTCACTGTGATGCAGCTTATTCTCAACGAGATTCTGCCTTCCTCTTCAGACAGGTTACCGCTTATGGGTAAAGCAGCACAGTTATTATTTAATTTCACTGTCATCTCCTTTAAGCAGAAACATCACATGAACTGACTTAGTTTCTTGTCATTGGTGTCACTTTCATGACGTTGCCTTTTCTCTTCAGCGGTCTTCTGCATTGGGATATTTGGTTTGATGATGATCAGCCTTCTGGAGACGATTTTGGTGATGTATCTGATTGATAGAGACTCTGCATCTGAAGAAAACCAGGCAGATAAAGGCCTGAGTAAGGACTGTGGAGACAAACAGGGCAACTAGGATGGACACTTTATTTATATTATTTGAATACACAAAGAAAAATGTACGACTAATAATCCATCTTCTGAACATGCTGTTGTCGTGTGTCAACAATTTCCTTTCAGATGTGAAGAAATGGACTCACTGTGCTTGTGTGTGTAATGTGTCTGATGAACCGCCATCTGAACTGCTGTCGGTGGGCCAAGAGGTGAGAATTGGGTTTCTCTGTAAAGGGAATGTGTGCCTAAATTAAAAAAACTAAACTAAAATATATACTAGTGAAGTATAAAACAGTTTAGGGTTACTCACAGTTTCAGAGGTTTGTTTGTGGGAAGAGATGTTACCGTTGGATTCTTTGAGCACAATGGACACAAAACAAGAATGTTAAAGGCTGAACGGTTTTCAATTTTTAATGGTTCATAATCTTGTTAATGATCAATCCACCAAAAAACGTCTGCAGGACAAAAGAAGCCAACTGATGGAGGAGTCCGATTCCCTGGAGAAGCTCCCAGATGAGCTGAGTGAGGCGGTGAAAGCACTCTCTCTGCTCCTCAGTAGGAAGGAAGAAAGGAAGCCCGACTACTGGACCAGAGTGGCTAAAAAATTTGACATAATTTTCTTTTTTGTCTATGTCACAGTGTCTGCTCTGTTTTTGGTTGTCATCTTTTCATTATGGATCCATGCAAAAGACGAGTAGTGGCAAACAATTGGGGTCTATTCAAAAACATGTTTGTTTTACTAAACTGACTTGTATCTTTGCAAGTTTGTCACCAGAGAGAATTGATTATACATTCTTCTACTGAAGGCGGCAAATGTCTGTGGAATAAACTTGCAAAACTAAGATTAAATGTATTTCGGGCAAGCTAGATTAAGTCTGTCACAAATTCAAAAGCCAAACATATCCACAGGGAAACAGTAGACTACACTAACTATTGCTTCAAACTGCGACTCCACCAAGTGCAAGCAGTGATGCACAGGTCAGGGCCAGATCCAGAATTTCTCAATCGCTTACCCTAACCCTAACACTAACCCTTTCGATCATCTAAACTTTATATTGATCATAGCAACACATTTTGACAAACTTTAAAACCTGTCTCAAGGCTGACTTGATTAGGACATTGCTTCAATTAACATGTTATTTAACGCATCTGTAGTCAGTTTCACATCTGTAGTTTAAGTTGGTTGGTCGGAACCAACGTTTTAAACATAACTCATTGTTATTTTTAAGAGGGGGTCGAGGGTTCAACTGACTTGTTAGGAATCAATACATGAACCCACAGGGGGAAATCATTAATCAAAAGTTATTTCTGATTAATGACAGCAAGTTATTCTATGCTCAATAGAAGTATTGTAAATGTAATGGCATGTTCTCTTAATTGTTGAACATTAAGAGGCTTTCCAATTCTGCAAGTGAGTGTTTCTTGTCTGTAGATCTTGTGAGAACTGCGTGCGCTCCCTCTACCTGTGCTGTCCCTTTCCTGTCAACTATGTGCCCTTATATACAACCTTCTGCATCTAATCACCAGCCCTAAGTGTCTAGAATAATACTGCATGATATATCTATCATAATAATATGACATGCCAACAATTAACATAAATATCTCCTACAGTAAAGTTATAGTAATATATGACTTTATATTATATATTGAAAACTGTGAGTGTTGCTTCTTTGTGGAAATGCTATGGAAACACTATTATTGATTTTCCCACCATACTAAACAAGTATACTTTTATTAAGGCTTTACGTAAGTATTTTCTTCTATAGTTCAAGTCATTTGAGCTTGTTGTGGTTTAAAAAAAAATGATATCTGCATGGGAATTTTAGTACATAATGTATTTACATTAAATATTAATCCTGCCATCTTGTTCTGAAGCATGTTAGACTTCATACTAATCAAATAAAAAATACAAACAAAATGTTTTTTATCTATTTGTGTATGTGTTTATTCTTTGTTTGTTAGTGTGTTTGGTTGTGTGTGTCCTGCAGTTGTCAGGGTTGGGGAAAAATAGGACACACAAGTGCAGTTAAAAAAGACAAAACAAGAAGGAACAAAAAGTGAGCTTTATTTCCCAAAGCCGAAGACAGGAAAAACAAGAAACTAATTAACATAAACAAAAACCGGGGAGCACGACAGACAGGAACAAAGTTACAGACGGGAACAGGCAGGTGACATGGACAAGCATAGACGAGCATGGAACATGGAAATGAAGAGACGAACCGGTAACGTGGACTAGGAGAAAAGACACAACGATCAGACAAGGAGCACAGGGGAAGACAAGACTAAATATACAGAAGGGTAATCACAGGACAAGACACAGCTGGGCAGGGGAGGCAGAAACACAAGGGCAACAGGTGAACAAAATGAGACAATCAGACACAGGAGGGAAACTTAGGCCCAAACCGCCCCCTACACCCTACCCCTAACTACCCCTCCGTTTGCGCGTTCGCGCGGAGGGTCCGCCACATTAAGTGCTGTTCCAAACCAACGAGTGTGGAGCGGTGTGGAGGGGGAGTGGGCTATCAAGCCCCCAAACAGCGAGTCTGCATCGGTGCTGACTGGAGACCGGTCTCTACCTGACCGGTCTCAAGGCTGTGTGTGTCCGTCAGGAAACACGCTGTTTACAAACAGTTCCAGCAACATCCACTGATAAACTGCGATGTTTAACAACCTCATGATAACCTCATATTTTTTTAACTTGGGATCATACCTGTGTTTAGTCTAGAAAAAGGTAAATGTGTGCATTTTATTATAAAGTTGTGTATATTTACAGACTGTTGCAAAAACTAAGAAGCTTATAAAAATCAGGTTTAAAACTAAAAGAGCTTTACAAAAAAGTAACACAATTAAAGATGTTTGGAGTTTTATTTTAGTTATTAATTGTTTGTCTCAGAGATGCTGATTTGAAACCGTTGTTACATACAGTTACGGCATTTCCTGTTTCTGCCGGAGAGAGGGGACTTTGTCCCAAAGCTTGCCCCTGTATTTACATTACATTACATGTTATTTGTTAGACGCTTTTATCCAAAGCGACTTACATACATTCAGTACTGTGGACAATCCCCACAGGAGCAATTTGGGGTAGTGTCTAGCCCAGTGACACAACGACATGCTGACTGCAGTGGGACTCGAACTTGCTATCCCCTGATTCCAAGTCCATCATACTATCCACTGAGCTACAGCCTCCATTTACTCCCTCCATCTGACAGGAGGGAGCCTCATTGAGCTGTGAGTGTCACTCCACAGAGTTCACTCCGTCACGGCGGGGGAGTGTGTAGGGGTAGGGTGTAGGGCGTGGTTTGGGATTGGGCCTATATTAGGGCATTCCCCATCTAATACTTGACCGTGACAGGATGCAACATTACAGCTCAACATATTGTTATTTTTGGACTTTATGATTAAAATATTTAACAGCCTGAAAGAACATTTGTAGAGATAAAGAGAAACAATGGAAGTTACAGAGTAAGGAGGTAGTAATTGCACAAAAAGGTGCTGTGGCTTAGTGGTAAAGGGCCTGTCTCGTAAACAGGAGATCCTGGGTTCAAATCCCAGCAGTACCTCTTTGATACCAAGATTATCTCTACATTACTGAATGCAATTTACAAGACTAACCAAAAACAGTACATTTCACATCCCACCACAGTCCACCTAATCACATCCAATAAGGAGCAGGTTAAAGTGGCCTCTTCATTATTCTTTCAAACAAGGTTTATATTCAGAGTTACTCACCCAAACTCATTGTGAGGATCTATAGGGTTTAGCAAAAAAACTGTTGCAAATCTGAATGTTTTTGACTGCGCCTTTTTGTACAATTACTACCTCCTTACTTTGTAACTTCCATTGTTTATTTTTATCTCTACAAAGGTTCTTTCAGGCTGTTAAACATTTTATTCATAAAGTCCCAAAATAACAATATGTTGAGCTGTAATGTTGCATCCTGTCACGGTCAAGTATTAGATGGAGAATGCCCTAGTTTTACGCCCAAACTAAACCAAACCCTTATTTCAGAGGTGGATAACACACTTAATGCAAGAGATATTGTCTGTAACAAAGAGGCGCTGCTGGGATTTGGACCCAGGATCTCCTGTTTACAAGACAGGTGCTTTGACCGCTAAGCTACAGCACCTCTCAATAGTATTCTTTTTATTTTCTCTCCTGAATTTATTTAGTATAACCAAAGTAAACCAAACCAACCATGTGACTGAATCATTGAGCACCGAAAACTGATTCCGTCTACAAAACTCCTGTAATATCCTTTGAATGCAGGTTAAAACTTGTCTGCTCCAGGTGAGGCTTGAACTCACAACCTCGGCATCACTCTGCAGGTTACTGTCTTATAAGTACCGCGCGCTGACCGATTGGTCAGCGCGCGGTACTTATAAGACAGTAACCTGGTGCAATCGCACCACTGGAGCACAAAATGTCAATAATATCAAAAACAATAGCCATTACTCTTGAATTTTCTAAATGTATCTGTTCTTATAACCAAACACTCTCCTATGCTCTAGAGCAGGAATGGGCAAATGGCGGTCCGGGGGCCGCATGTGGCCCCCACCTCCTCTTTTTGCGGCCCTCAGATCAATTTAGAAACAACGTAATTAATAAAAAAAAGTAAAACATTTTTCTTTTACTTGTAGTACTGATACCGTCCACTAGACTCCTAGTTACGTCGCGAGCTGCGTACACGATGTCATCTTAATGTTTAATCTTAATGCACACGCATTTTCCCTGCTTTCCAATAGTTTAAAGGCCCCATGTCATGGCCATTTCCACTGATCATAATTCCATTGTTGAGGTCTACTAGAAAAGATTTATATTGTGCAATTTTCCAAACTCACATTGGTTTCTCATACAGCATCTCTGTAAACTACGTGTATTCACTGAATTTCACTCTCTGCCTTTAATTGCTCGTTGTAGCTCCAATAGCTCCAGCCCCCACCCTCCCTGTGAGCACAGTGTGCTCTGATTGGTCGGGACGTTGTGAATCGCGCTGAGCTCCGTGGAGGTGTGGTTTCCTTGTTTAGCGATACACAGCGAAACACAGCCAAACTCATCCTGAGCACACTCAAACTCACAGCCGAAGTAAAAACAATAAGTGTGGCTTGATATTGAGTAAGAAAAAGGTTGATAAACGCTGTGAGAATGGGTCTGCAGAGAGAATTTTGCCGCGATCCCAACTGTTTGTTATCAGCCTGCAGCCAGGGAGGAGAAATCAGCTGAGCTGCCTGCTCCCTGCACACAGATGTGTGTGTGAGGAAGTCCGTGGATTGGTCAATGTGGACCAATCAGCGGGGGCTTAACGTAACGGCTCCGCGGACGTAACGTAACGGCTCCACGGATTGGTCCATTTGGTTCCGGGTACCGCATGACCGTATCGCGTGACCGTATTGCGTCATAGCCATAGACTGTATATATAAATGGACGTAGGGTCCGTGACGTCACCCATAGGATTCTGCAGAGTTGCCGAGAAGCCCTTAGTAGGCGGAGTCGGCCACTAACGGCTCGACAGTGGCGTCAGAGTTCCACTCCCGCCTGCTCCAAATAAGGGCAAAGAGGCGGAGTCGAGGCGGGACCTGCTGCCTCCGAGCTGGAAGTTCCAGAGCTAGCTGAAGCTACCAAGCTAAGCTAACATGCTCACCATCTGCAGAGTTGCCGTCGCATTTTACGTTTCTAAGGTAAGCGGACATGAGACTATTCA